TCCTCTCAAAATAACCTAAGGTCAAAACAACTCTAACTAGTTCAAATGATGGAAGTGTATTCCCACACTGCGTAACCTCTTGCTAAGTTTCATACAGTTCACGATTCTCTGAGCTAATCCAAGGTGAGCTGTTTCGTGTTGCATACGCGGCCAAGGAGCCCTTATCATAGACTCTTGCACAATATGAAGGGCTAAACTGGCTGCTTCTCCAAACAGTTCTCTTGTTTATTCTTGACGTAAGAAGTGAGAGATCAGGCCTGATAAGTTGACTGACGTGGTAGAAGTGAAAATGGATTGCTCGACGCGGCGTACCCTGTGTCCAAATGATAATGCTTGGTCCAAAGATGCTATTTATCCACAAAAAGCTGGTTTTCTCTCAAAATTTTCAATACAGCTAGGAGAAAGGACATGTTGTGCAGCTACAGGCGTTTGACCGTCACATGAAGTTCTTCCTACACAGAAACCTCAAATCGTTCAGATCTGCTGAGGAATCGACCTGCTTTCACAAAGCGCAGTCATAGAAGAATGAACTGAAAGGAGAAGTCAACTTTTCAACCCCTTTGGGCTAATAGTGCCGTTAAACCTCTGAAACGCACTGTATTATAGAAACATAGCAGTTTGGTTGATTTTATGAACCCTGGAGCGCCTCAAACAAGCTAGCGCGATATTTCATTATGCTATATATATATATAATATATATATATTAATATATATATATTATATATATATAATATATATATCCTTCTATTTTATAAAGCGCTAACTTTGTGTGTCGGTTTGTGTATCTGTATGTGTGTGTGTGTGTGTGTGTATATGTGTGTCCGTCCGCAAAATGAAGTGAGTGAGAAGGAAGCTCATGGGATAAACAAACCGCTAACAAATCGGGTAGCTTACAGGATTTGAGATATCAATGTTTTGTAGATAGTTGTGATAACACTCTCAGGGCTATATAAACACCTGCTTAGCACACTTCCGTTCATTCCACATGGTGCTGCAGTGGCAGCTGGAGGGCAGTGGAGAGAGGAAGGGAGGATGAGGAAGGGAAGCGAAAAATCTACCGTCATATCATGATTGTGTCCCTTCTACTGTTTGAAACACCATTGTGTTGCATACGCGTCACTTCCACGAGGTGTTGGTGTCACAGGAGGAAGGGACCATAGCGGAGGATAGAAAGCTTGCGCAGGAAAGGAAGGTCCCGGCGGTTGACGGGGGACTAATCTGGTATATATATATATTATAATATATTATATATATATATATATATATACCAGTTTGGCTGCGCACGCATTCGCGTGCATGAGACGGGGCTGCAGCGGTAAAATCGGGCCCATCAGTATTTTTGTCTTGATTTTAGCTTTCTGCTCGGTACATCTTACTTACGCCGCAAACTCCGCCCACATCCGGGTGTGCCACGCCCAGCGTTCACATTCAACCTCTACTCCTACTTTCACCTCAGGCATATTTTTTTCAGGTCTCTAAGTCATCTCGGAGCCGAATTATGAGGTCTTGTAAATGGCGTTATGAGTCACGAATTTCTGAGGCAGACCCCGCCCACTTTGGTGCATGGTTAGCCCAACAATGGCATTCAACCCTACTCCATACCTCAATACTTATGCACATTTTCCCCGGTCGCCGGAACTTCTAGGAACCGAGTTATGAGAGCGGTGGCAAACTCCGCCCACATCCGGGTGTGCCACGCCCAGCGTTCACATTCAACCTCTACTCCTACTTTCACCTCTGGCGTATTTTTTTCAGGTCTCTAAGTCATCTCGGAGCCGAATTATGAGGTCTTGTAGGGGACGAAATCGAGCTACGTATCTTTGTGGCAAACCCCGCCCACTTTGGTGCGTGGGTCGCCCACTGATATCAGTCGGCTATCATCTCTTCCCCAACCTTTTTCTACTTTTCTCCCATCTCTGGAACTTATTGGAACCGAGTTATGAAGTACCGTGGCAAACCCCGCCCACTTTGGTGCATGCTCCGCCCGCCAACAACGGTTGACCCCTTTCCCTCTGCCAACCCTTATACGCTTTTTTCCCGGACTCCGGGACTCCTAGGAACCGAGTTATAAGCCTAATTGCAAACTCCGCCCACTTTGATGTAAGCCACGCCCATCCTGACATTTAGCTTCCCCTCCCCTCCTGACCTCTATCCGTTGTTTTCCGGTCTCTAAGTCATCTCGGAGCCGATTTATGAGCTCTTGTAGAAAATGCTGTCCGCTTCACGACACGCTCCGCCCATTGTGGGCGGGCCTCCGTTCACATCATGCGTGGTGGAAATACCTTAGGCATTGCTCCCCTGCACTAATTTCGTTTCTGGTCTGTAGGCTTCCTCTTAACCGAGTTATGAATATTTTCACTGAGCACCCATTTTCTAGAGAACGCCCCGCCCACCGAGGGTGGGTCTCCTCAGTTCGATCTGGCTTACCAACCCACACCTATGCCCACTTTTGTCCCGGTCTCGAGGCTGTTTTGTGACTGAATTTGAAATCAACCGATGCACGCCACGCCCACTGTGGGCGGGGCTCCGCTTGGCTGATGTGTGTTTTTTACTTCTAGGGATATGGTATACCCATCCCAAACTTGACCTGGACCCTGTAGGTTGTTGTTCGCTTGATACCGAATTTCGTGACAGACGGACAGACAGACATAGCGCATTATATATAGTAGGGATATATTATATAATATATAACTATATATATATATATATATATATATATATATATATATATATATATATAAGCGCTAGCGTGTGTCTGTTGGTGTGTGTGTGTGTGCATGTTTGAACGGAAATTCATAGCTCGAGTCACAGTAACGATAGCGCAGTGGTTCTTACAATATGTTATAGGGGGTGGGATGGGGACACAAGTGGTACGTGATAGGAACTGATAACGACTGATAATAGCTGATAAGAGGGGCTAGAAAGCGAGCATCGCCAATTTCGTTTTGCCGTTCATATTGGTAAAGAGCGTCTATACTTACAAGTCTTATGTGGGGCGGTCCCGGGACATTGGTGGTACATGATTGGAAGCGATAGCAACTGATAATGGCTGATAAGATGCGCTAGAACGCGGACGGGTGTTGTTCGATTCCCGCCGGGGATAGTCGTCCTGTCACCGACCCGAGCCCGGCGTTGCGTAAATCGAAGTCGGCTTTTTGGGGACCCTGCCTCGAGTCCGTAATAACTCAGAACGCAAAAGTCGTCGATTCCGTTGCCTGGCTCGCGTTGACACCAGAGCAACCATACTTACAAGTGTTATGTGGGGTGGGACGGGGACATTGTTGGTGGGTGCCAGAAACTGATAACATTGATAAGGGCTGATAAGGCGCGTCAGAACGCAAAAGTCGTCGATTCCGTTACCTGGCTCGCGTTGACACCAGAGCAACCATACTTACAAGTGTTATGTGGGGTGGGACGGGGACATTGTTGGTGGGTGCCAGAAACTGATAACGATTGATAAGGGCTGATAAGGCGCGTCAGAACGCAAAAGTCGTCAATTCCGTTACGCAGCGTTGACACTAGAGCGTTCCTACTTACAAATTGTAGTAAGTCGTAGTAGTACAAACAAAGGTACGTGCACATTATTTCGATATATATCCAGCTTACTTAATAGCAGTCGATTGCATAAATTCAATCAAGTCTTCAGCAAATGATAAGTTTCATTTCTATCAAGAAAGCCCAAACTCATTAAACCGCTAATCCTTTCGGGTTCTAAATAATGGTGAATGTAAATAAATGATAAGCCTTAGCTCCTCACTTATGTAAATAGGCATATTTCATTTTAATTTTGAGACTGACAGCAATCCTATTCACCGCTAAATTATCTTAATTCAAGAAAAATGCTGGATGTTTACAGTTGTGATCAATATACCAGTTCAGCTCAGACGTTATCACGCGTATTCTCGATGAGCTTCAGTGAAACTGTGGAGGGTCTAACACAGTCAATAGTGAGATGGTTAATGGAGTATCTCATGCTGATATTCCATGGGTCCTCCAATTTCGCTAAAGCCTGCCGTGTGATGCGCGCGATAGCGGGCGAAGCAAAACTGGTAATCTAGATATGATTATAGATACTCTCGTGATAATTCGCGCGCTAGCTTGTTTGAGGGCGCTTCCAGGGTTCATAAAATCAACCAAACTGCTATGTTTCTATAATACAGTGCGTTTCAGAAGTTTAACGGCACTATTAGCCAAAGGGGTTGAAAAGTTGACTGCTCCTTTCAGTTCATTCTTCTATGATGCGCTTTGTGAAAGCAGGTCGATTCTTCAGCAGATCTGAACGATTTGAAGTTTCTGTGTAGGAAGAATTTCATGTGACGGTCATACGCCTGTAGCTGCACAACATGTCCTTTCTCCTAGCTGTGTTGAAAATTTTGAGAGAAAACCAGCTTTTTGTGGATAAATAGCATCTTTGGACCAAGCATTATCATTTGGACACAGGGTACGCCGCGTCGAGCAATCCATTTTCACTTCTACCACGTCAGTCAACTTATCAGGCCTGATCTCTCACTTCTTACATCAAGAATAAACAGGAGAACTGTTTGGAGAGCAGCCAGTTTAGCCCTTCATATTATGCAAGAGTCTATGATAAGGGCTCCCTGGCCGAACAGCTCACCTTGGACTAGCTCAGAGAATCGTGAACTGTATGAAACTCAGCAAGAGGTTACGCAGTGTGGGAATACACTTCCATCGTTTGAACTAGTTAGAGTTGTTTTGACCTTAGGTTATTATGAGAGGATTCCAGAAAAGATTGACGACTTTCAGCCGAGAGGAGCTTTGTGGATC